AGCATTGTTAAAAAGCCCTTAGATTCGATACCAGCACGCTTACAACGAATGATTCTACGATTACAATGTTATGATTTGACAGTTACATATAAGCCTGGAAGGTATATGTACTTGGCTGATACATTATCACGTGCCCCTATGGCAGAACTATATAATGATAAAGTGAGTGATAATGAATTATATCAAGTGCATATGGTAGTTTCTAACATGCCCGTTTCACATAAAAAATTATGTGTTATTAAAAATGAGACTTTAAAAGATAATAATTTAAAAAGTTTAATGAGATATATAAGTCAGGATTGGCCGGAATATAACCGAGATTTTGAAGATAATTTAAAATATTATTGGTCTATGAGAGGCGATTTATTTTGTGTAGATGGTGTTATATTTAAAAATAAACAAATATTAATTCCCAGTTCCTTAAGAACCGAAACGTTAAAAATCATACATGATGGGCATTTAGGGATAGACCGCTGTAAAAGCCAGGCGCGTGAAGGCCAGGGATTTCTTATGATATAGAGAGATATGTAAATAGGTGTGTTGTGTGTCGAGAGAATTCAAATAAACCTAGTAAGGAACCGATGACTGCTGTTTCTATTTCAAATTTACCATGGAGTAAAATCGGGACGGACATATTTCAGTATGGTAAAAAATCTTAACTGATTATTACACACATAATACATAAACACTGATGCCTATTACCTAGAGGGGTAGGTAGAGACTACAGACTTCCATTTAGCACGATCCTGACATACCTCTCTGGTCTCTCCCACATCCATATACCTACGCATCATGCTCGTCGGTTAAGGGTACTCTTAATTTGGCCCATTTTTAGTATATCGCCAATTTGGTCGACAAACTTCCGCCTAGCACATCCCTTTACAACTCTTCCATTCACTTCTGCAACATATATTTGCTTTGTCAGTCTTTCCGCATTCATTCTTTCTACAAGACCAAACCACCGAAACATTCCTTTCTTAATCCTGGTCACTGCATCATCTTACAAACCACACTCTTCTTTTATCACACAGTTTCTCATCCTGTCACTCAGATTGAGCCCTAACATACTCCTTAGTGACCGCATTTCTACTGCATTTATTCTACTCTCGTGCTTCTTTTGTCACACCCAACTTTCACTACCATATGTTAAAATAGGGACTAATACAGCATTGTGAATCTCCATACGTGCCCTTTTTGACACATTCTGACCTTTCACAATAGAGTGTAGAGCCCCATTTACTTTATTTCCTGCATTCACTCGTCGTTCAATATCCTTCTCATATCTCCCATCCCTGCTGAATACACATCCCAAATATATGAACACATCCACTTGCTCAATTAACTCTCCTTCTATTCTTATTTCACAGACCGTTTTGCTTTCTTCTCTTTCAAAAACCATCACTTTCGTCTTACTTGCGTTCATTTCATGCCCCTTTCTTTTAATGACCTGTTCATTAATGTAACCATCATTTGCAACTCGGCCGCCGACGACGCAAGTATGACTTGATCACCGGCGTACAAAAGGCATTTGATGGTTAACTCACCCATTCTTAACCTGCATTCTTCAACTTTCAAATTATCCAAAAACAACGGTCCATAAATAGGTTGAACAGCCACGGGGAAGCTACACAGCCCTGTCTGACACCTTTATGGATGCCAAACCAGTCAGAGTAGACCCCGTTGATTCTAACACAAGCACTCGAGTCCCTATACAGAGACTTTAATGCCTGTATTAAACCAGCGCTCAACCTAAATGCGTTCAGCGTTTGCCATAACACATCCGTGTCCACTCTGTCATAACCCTTTTCCAAGTCCATGAACGCACAAAAAACTTTTTGATTTTTCGCCAAAAACTTCTCCACGATCATGCGCATGGAAAAGACTTGATCGGTACACCCCATTCCCTTCCTAAATCCCGCTTGCACATCCCAAATTTTTTCATCAGTTTCTTTCATAACTCTTTCAATTAGTACCTTAGCATACAGTTTTCCCACAATGCTAAGAAGGCTGATACCACGGTAGTTTTTACAGTCCTGCTGTGACCTTTTTCCCTTATATATTGGGACTATCACGGCTTTGCACCGGTCTCCCGGTACCCGCTTTAGTTCCCAACATGAATTAAACAAGGTGTACAGCAGGCCTGACACCACGGCCTCTCCAGCCCTTAGCATTTCGAGTGAAACTCTATCATATCCGGCTGCCTTACCTACTTTCATACTTTTCATTGCTTTCATTATTTCATCTATACTTATCTCCCTATCTCTTTCATCTTCTTTCGGAATTTCAATTTCATTTAGTTCACACATCTCCTCACTCATAAATACGCTTTCAAAATATTCCTTCCATCTCTTTAGACTCAATACTTCATCATTCAGAATACAGCCATTCTCGTCTCGTATCGCATTCAATCTAGGCTGTTTTGAATGTCCCCTGGTTTTTTTGTTACGAGTTTCCAGAACATTTTAATATTTGCTTGGAAGTTATCCGATATTCTTCTATCATTCTTATCCGTTCTTTCTTGCTTTTTCCTTTCAACTAATTCTTTTACTCTCTTATTTAGACGTTTAAACTCTGCCTTTTTTCTTTCAATCTCATCATTCTTACCGCCAGAATTACCAGCTTTGGTCGCTAGTAAATCTAGCCATGCTCTCTTCTTTGCTTCAACTTCCATACGTACCTCATGATCCCACCATAACGTATTACCTTTCCTTTCATTCGTTCTCTTACTAACACCACATACTTCAGTAGCTCCATCCACTAAACCTTTCATAACATTATGCCACACATTCTCCAAGTCTAACTCATTCACACACAATTCATCCAAATCACTTATATTTTCTCTCAGTCTACATTTGTACTTGTCTTTCACATCTTCATCTTGTAACCTCTCAATTCTTATACGCTGTATCTGATTATTGTGGACTATTATTCATGTTTTACTGAAGTAGCATTGTTACATGAAACTACTTCTAAAAGCGTCATAAACGTGCTGAGAGAAAATTTTGCTAGATATGGGATACCAGACATTGTAATAAGCGATAATGGTTCACAATTTACAAGTCAGGAGTTTAAAAACTTCGCGGTGGAGTGGGGTTTTGAACACATAACATCATCACCCAACTATGCACAATCAAATGGTAAAAGTGAAAGGGCTGTGAAAACAATAAAAAAGATATTAAAAAAATCCATAGATAGTGGAAGTGACTTTTATTTAAATTTGTTAAGTTATCGAAATACGCCTAAATACGCGATAGCTTGAATTCTCCCGCACAGCTGCTGATGGGTCGTAGGTATACAGGTTGCCTGTGCACCCGGACCTTTTAAAAATAGGTAATGTAGATGATGAGAGACAACACAAAGTTATGCTAGATAAACAAAATAAATACAAAATGTATTATGATTTACACTAAGCCTTTACCTGTATTAGATGTCGGCGATGAGGTGACCATGATAGAAAAAAAATTGTAAAATGCCAGGTTATATCGTTGCAAAAGCGGCGACTCCCCGCTCATATTTTATTAAAACTAAAAGAGGAACGGTGTATCGTCGCAATCGCAGACATCTAATGAAAGATAAAGCACAAGAAAATAGAGCGTCAGGACAAATACACATGAAATAAAGAACATGATCCAATTAGAACAAAAACTGTTTCTATGCGTAGTGAGAATGGTAAATATTCTTAGAACGATAAATATGAACCAATAATGTAAAATTTTGAAGTTAATGAAAATTATTCTTCTCTTTCTCGAAGTAAAGCGATTAAAAATAAAAAATAACCTACTTTATTAATCCTGTGTAATCACAAAAAAAAAAGGTTAAGGTAATGGTAAAATAAAAAATAAATTGTGCTTAAGTTTTTTTTATTTATGTAAAATTATTTAAAAAAAAATATATCACTTTTGTTAAAAACTTATTCTTTAAGGGGAAGATGTTGTGGGTAGTCTTGAAATGTTGTATGTTAAGAACCGTCTTTATTATTAAAAACAGTTGTCATCTGAACTCCGTTGTTTCATTGTCACAACACTAACTAACGTCTCATTACCTTAAAAGGTATTCACTATATTCATCATATTTTACACAGTTCACCTGATGATAAGTAAACACTCTGACTCATAAACATCTTCATCTATCCTGTAAAAGTCAAAATGCAAATGCATTGTCACCCTTGGGCTTACACCTTAAGGCCGCGGGATCGATTCGTTATCATTAACAGCGTCCTCGGTTCTCATAACTCACCAACACTATACCAAAATCAGCAGCTGCATTATGCTGCTATTTCACACTAGTATTCTGTTCGAATTGTCGCAATCTGTAAGCGAGATATAATATATATACAATAAAAAGTAAAAGAATTAAATAATATCCACGTAATAGTTTCTATAGTCGGTGCGAAGACAATGTGTAAAAAATAAAAATCCCGTCTCCTGAAGCGATAATGTAAAAATAAAAGTCCCGTCTCCTGAAGCGATTATGTAAAAATAAAAGTCCCGTCTCCAAAAAAAAAAAAAAAAACCCCCCAAAAAAAAAAACCCCCCCCCCCAAAAAAAAAAAAATGAAGCGATTATGAAAAACATTTTTTTCCTTTATTTCTTTAAACATGAGTTTTACTTTTTATGAAATGTTTAATTTTTTGTTTGAGTTAGCAAAGGAGTACTACGAGTACATGTTCAATTTAACAACTAGAATGTCGACTAAACGATTACAAACTTCGTCCCCGTTCCAACTTTAGGGGTGAAATTTATTTTTATATTTGGGAACCTCTCTGAAGATAACTATTTGATAAAAACAGAATCCTCCAAAATGGGTTCACAATTGACGACGATATCGCGTAACATAAATACAAAATAAATTCAATCGATTTGAGAATAACATTTTTGTTTGAAGTGGGCTAAAAAGGCTGACGATAATATGGTGTGGTATTTCATCTTAGAAAACTAAAAAAACTACCTGTACCAGAAAATAAACATCAATATTTACTAAGAATCATTTTGTTGTTCCAGGTGTTTACCTCCCTTCAAAAGGCGAATATTTTGTGTGGAGCGATTCAGGCATGTGGCAAATATGCCGATATGTATTCCATCCTACACTGAGTTTACCGCCTTCAATGAAGTACAATGCATCGGTGACAACAGCAACGGCCAAGCCATACGACATCGACGGTATGGCAGGAAAATATTATACAAGTAAGCAAATTTTGTCTACTAAAATTATTCATTTATATAATAATTAAGTAAACAGGAATAAAAAATTATTCTTGTATAAAATATTTTAAAGAAATTTGGGTGCGATTTTGTCTATTTCATCTACTTTCCATTTAGTGCCTAATCTTATAAGTTCAAAGATATTTTAAATATAAGAATAACAACTCAGATTTATTTTAAATAAAATTTTAACCACGCTGTTTCATTATACGGCGTTTCATTAGGTGTCAAATAAAATTGGCTTAGACATGTTCAAAATAAGTTCACTAACGTATTAACTTACCAACTAATATACTCACATTCATGCATTAATTTATTACAAATTATAAAGAGCCTACTGCTGAAAATATGCTTTCCAAATAGATTGCCTCCCAGGAGGATTTTAACTTACGAAAATTTTCGCGGAATTAAAGGGAAAGGGTGAAATTAAACATGATATTATTTTTTCTTTTCGATATATTCTCCATTAAACCTAACTCATTTCTGAGACCGTTCAAATAACTTATTTATACCTTCAGAGAAATGTCTCGTTAAGGCCCTCAAAATAGGCACAAATTGCCGACTTTACTTTTTCGCCATTTGTAAATTTCTTTCCCCGGATTTTTTTTTATATTTGGGAAGAAATAATAATCTGAAGTGGCCGGATTTGGATTCTAAGGAGGGTGGTTTTAGATTTCCAAGCCGCACTTGTGTAAGAAAGCCATCGCAATATGACTCGTCGTACGCCGTTCGTGGTAGAAAACAATTTACTTGAACATTCGAATAATAATAAGTCTGGTCCTTTTTTTATTAATGTTTTAGGCATATAATACAGTAATAAAATAAATAACTAAACAAATATGAGTATATGGATGTGGACTGTTGCTATCATTTTAAAATAAATCACTATGGATTAAAGATGTCATGTCTTGTAAAGTAAATCACACGTAATACTACTACAATAGGGATGTCAATTTTTACAATAATCATAATATATATAAAAAAAAATACAGGAGAGAATTCTAAAATAAGAAGAAAATTATTATAGCTAAACTCTTGATACATATGACGTTTAAAAATGTACAAAAGCAGATGGCTATATTATTCTCACATTATTTCTTTTACTAATGTAGATAAGTGCCACTTTTCTATTCCATAGAAATTACCACTAATGATGTGTCATTTGCGAAACAAAAAAAAACGTTGTCGATGAACTCATTTGGTTTATGACTTATTAGGGATTTTATTAGTCCAGTTCATAATACTTATTTATAACAATGAAAGTTTATGGAAGCTTCATCAGACATCATAAGACAAAAGCGTAGTCGAAAAATGCGGAATTCCGTACTATCATTGTATAATTTAAAATATATCGTAGAAAAAAGGGTATCTACAAAATCTACTTAAATTCAGTCGGTACATTTCGCCAAATATTCTTAGACTTGAGTTTCACAGGGAATAATAACTGTGTTTGTTTAATTGGCACTGGGTTTACTTTACAGAACGTACACAGAGGGCATTGCTACGACAATACAATAACAGCGGTACGACCGCGGTCTGCCTTGTCTTTTGTCGCTGGCTACCAATAAATCGATTACTATTATTTGGAGTTGTTATTTATGATGATACTTACGGGATTTTATGGAGTCTTAGAGATTCTAAGTAATAATACAGGGTTATTTTGCAATAACCTGCCAAATATGCAGAGAAGGTTCAGAATAAGTAATATAGGCAAATGATGCAGAAAAAATAATTGTACAAAATATCAAACGTTCTGTCTTTTTTATCTTTTAAATTCAAAATGCATTATTTTAACTGATTTTACTGTGCACGCAGACATTCGTAAGGGTCAATTACTAGGCAAAAACGTTTTTGCCTATAAACAAAGACATTTAAGTAGTAGTAATGGACCGCATCAGCAACAAAATTGTCGTCTCTAACTTTTGTCCTATAAGATGGATATTCTCCGATTTTTTTCATTTAGTCTTAGTGAAATCATCAAAAGGTCACGATGCATTCGTTTTATAAATTTAAAAAAAAACATTTTTAAAGGAAATATGCACGGTTGTGAATTAAGATATTGTAAGTCACGATATGGAGCAAAAAATGAACGTAATTTCGATTTATTATCGTAAGAATAATGTTTATTTACTAAATAATCTTTAATTTTTTTTATTTCTAGTAAATTCCTCTAGAACACTTATTATTTTTGTAATAAGCGCCCTCTGTTGTACAGTAACGTCAATATTTTTTTCCCAATATGTTAGTGCTTGACGACGTGCTTAAAATGGATTTTTACCTCATGTAAAATAACGTCACGTAATGGGGAATGCTAAAATGTTTTCCAAATAAATATTCGGCGTAGTATTGCTATGTTACGCCAGAGGGCGTAATACACGCGTAACCTCACAGTTTATGTATGTAAATGTTCCAAATGTCCGGTCCATAGTATATATATATATATATATATATATAAATCTCTTTGCCCATAAATCACATTCAATTTAGGATTATTTGAAATAAATGTAGAAACCTTATTTCTCGTATTTTAAAAAATTGTATTAAAGGTATATCTTTATTTATATATTTGAATTTAAATTATAAATTTGACTGCTCCTTGAAAACAATCCTGTATATATTATGTGATAAGAGGTAGTGGTTTCTTTGACGACAACGCTACACGGCATTGTTAAGATTCTGTCTTAACTTTATTATTTCGAAATATTTTCATGCAAGCAGATAAAGTTTTGTTGAATATAGTCGATGGTTTTCGTCTAAGCAAGTATTTATTTATAATTAAAATTAAAATCTATTGCCGCATGTATAAAAGATCATCACTTGAGAACAGCTGAACTGATTTTGTTGAACAATCACACTCACATTTGGACTCCGTAAGTAGCGCTGTTGGAGAGATCTAGAAAACAGTCGTGCGAAGCCGGGCGGATCGTTAGTCAGCATATAAAATTGGGATTACAAATGGGATCCAACTTGTTTATATACCGTGTGTCTGACAAGACTTAATATTCATACCTCCCAATGTATTAGTTTTTAATGACTGCGAAACTAAAATTTGCATTGTAATATAATAATCATCATCATTTGATTTAGAAAATGGTAATTCTAGTCTTATTATCTTAAATTTTAAATATAATAAAAATAAATAAGTAAACAAAAACGAGTGTATCGATGTCGATTGTTGCTTACATTGTGAACGCAATCACTATAGATTAAAGACGTAATATTTTGTAAAAAATTGTCACTACTACAATTGGGATGTGATTTTTCTAGTAAATCAGAAGATGCGAGTGTAGCTAGTCTTATATTGGGCAAAGTACAAAGATACCAAAGAAGACCACTTGAAAATTCTATATAAAAGCGTGATATACACGCAACATTTTTCAATAGAGTCGTCTCTTTTCTCTTATATGAAAATTAAAGAAGAAAAAGCGAGACAAGTATATTAACTCAAATTGAGTTACTGTCTTGTCTTGTAGAATAGTAGGTTCTCTCTATGCATACGTATGTATGTAATTTCTCTAAGGTGTAAAGAGACGAACGATGACCACTTGACATTTCTATTTACACTCATGAATTACACGCAACATCTTTCAATAGATTTCTCTCTTTTCGCCTTATTTAAAAATTAAATTAGAAAAGGTGAGACAAGTTTAATGACTCAATTTACATAGAATAGTAGGTTCTTTCTATGTATGTATGTAATTACGTTAAGTATGTAACGAAGTATGCTAAAGTATTTATGTGTAAAAGCACATTAGTTACTGCAGACTATTTTGAGTGGGTAACGTGAAAAAGCTAGTTGATTTTAAGAATAAACAAAACGAACGATAGACTGCTTTTTTATTTGTTGTTTTTTTTTTTTTTACTAAGAACTCGAAAAAATATCTTTGATAGAAAAGTAAACCAGCGGGAGTTAATGGAGTAACTGAGTGAGCTAAAGCAGAAGGCGACATTGGAAAAATAAACGAAAACATGTAGGGTTAGAACGATAATATCGATACCGAGTAGTTTATCGATACCTGATACATCGTACTCGATATTCGGTGTCGCATTGGAGTAAAATTTAATTTCTTCTGTTTATTTTGTTCTATAATACAATGTCAATTTAATCAAATATACGATTTATACAAGGCGTACAATTAAATTTAACTAGTAGGTTAAATACAAACTAACTAATAGGTAACACACAATATTAAAAAAAACTATAATAAAGAAAACCTAAAAGTAAAATTTAAACTTTTATACAGTCCTATTCCCCATGGTATCGTGCCAAGAATACCAGCGTATAATAGTAGCGTAATGCTGCTGTGTTTCGTATGGTGAGTGTAGAGAACCTGAGACCCTTTTTACTGGAAAAGAGGCATTCCATCTTAGTACTCACGGGTGACAACGCATCTGCATTTGAATCGTAATCGAGGATAGATCTAGACGTCTGTGGGCCACATCAACCACTTAACATCAGGTGGACTGTGTGCTGGTTTTTCACCCTGTTCTTTAAAAAAATTATAGTATTTCATAATATATAATGTAACTAGGCTCGTCTTAAATTTTCCTTAAAATTGTCTTAAAATTTTTAGACACCTTTACGGTTGTTTAAAGACGTGACGCCCACTACTAGGATTTCCCCTTGTATCGTAGAAGCAGTTTACATACATAAACTTTACAATGGCAGATATCCAGACCCAGAACAATTAAATTTGTAGGCCATACAATACGTGCCCCGTGCGTGATTCGAACCCGCAGCCTCCAGCTCCACAACTTATTGCTGAGCCACTGCGCCGCGTAACCGTCGAACTGAAATTGTTAATTGCAATTTTATTGGTGGTTTACCACGTGCTGGGCGGCATAGGAAAACATCTTTGGGAAACCTGCAAACGAGAAGAATTTTGAGGACATTTGATGGCCGCTAACGCGCATTGAAGCTGGCGGCTCCTTTCCGAAATGAGAGAAGGCTTGTGAATAGCCGTGGTATATACGCTGCTACT